GTAAAAGTTTAGAACCCACACTTTAGCCATTATAATGTGCTGATTCTATTGTCATGTTTTTTTTTTTAAATTAAATCTTGTCACTAGCCCACCTTCACAGAGTGATACTATATCTGAATATTTATTAGACACTGGCAAACCAAAAGAAAGAAGCTATGTTCCTTTTGTAAGAGAGTCTTCCATAATCATTAAACTGAAGTTTGAGAGTCAGAGTTGAATTGAGTATGTCTTGGAATATGGCTCAAAAGGCCTTGGTATCAGAATTGACACTTCACCTCTCCTGGAGCATATTAGRTATTTCATGTAAATTAGTAATGAGATTCTCAACATCTGTCTGCTACAAGGTGCCTCAAGATGAATCCTTATACTTCCATGAGTTTTTGAGACAAAATGCTTTTGCAGAAATACTCTTTACTTTTCATGTTTAATCTGTGGAGTAGGTTAAGAAGCCTTGCTATTTCCATTTGCCAAATGAGGAACTTACTTAACTGACTTCACCAAAGTTACAAAACTGCTTGTAGAGTTTTCAGGAACCTAAGACCTGATGTTTTCTCTTATAAAACTGGACCCTGAGATGATTCTACTTCTTCCATGTTCTTAGTATTTGACAGGMAATGATAAAATGAGCTACTGTCATAAGACTTGCTAACACCAATACATTCACATTCTTTTTAGTTTCTTTTCCTGCTGTTTCAAAAGTTATATAAAACAAAATATGATAAAATCAAAATAATTATGAATCCCAAAATGTTAAAATACTTGCTAAAATAGACAGTGTTGTCCTTCTTTCACTTATTCTTTATCCCATTTAAATAAAGATGGTTCATTACATTAGGGCCAATGAACATAATGGGTTAGCTTGTACAGTGGACATTAATTGAGCATCTAATAAATTCTAGGCAATGGACTTTGTACTTCAGCTATAGACATTACATAATCTGCAGGTCCTTCCTTGTAGAGCTCATAGAATATTGGGAGAAAGCAGAAAAAAAGGCATGTGCCCAAGTGACTTTAGATATAGGTCATAAAGAAGAGAGGAAAAGAACATTTAAGTCTTTGTTAAAGAAGCTAAAACATCAGACAAAGCCAGACTGAGAAGTCTTTATTTTACCAAAGAAAAATTCCTCAGAAGATAATCCTTCTGAAGTATCCATCATTGAATGACACTCCACAGGTCAATGCAAAATATTTTGTGCTTGTTTGTGAACTGAATTKCATAACCAAAATACTGCTGTGCAGCTTAAATTAAAATAGTATTAATAGAATAATAAATTATTGATGATTATTCAGTTGCTTACAAAAGGATCCTTGACATATTTTTAAAGGTCTTCCGTTAGACTGATTGCCAATTCATCATTTAAATCCTTCATAAAACTGACTTAAAATAGCTATATTTTTCATGTTCATAAGCTTTTATCCCCAGCCCTCTTTTGCATGCCCCTCTAAATACTGCCTAATAACCTCCATTTATTAAAAATAAAACAAACCTCTTTTGGTAAGAGCTTTTACACACACAAATGCACAAAACCAAACCAAAAGAAACAACAATAAAATTCATTCCAATAATGCAAGAGATGCCTTAGAATTTTTGTAGTTTTCAGGTAGTTTTGTATTTAGCATGGAGTAAAAATGGCATTAACACAGCTTGGGAAGCTCATTTTTGCTTTTGGAGGTGACCCTTCTTAACTACCTGTAACTGTAATTACAGCTTTATTATGTTTACTACATGCTAAAATAGACAATGTTGTCCTTCTTTCACTTATTCATTATCCCATTCACCAATAATGTGTTGCTCAAAGTAACTAATAATGTTTCARTARTCTYCACTGAAGATTTATAATTCTTTCCAGTTGAGTTTATTTCAGATATGTAGAACTGCTATGCTAAACATAWTTTAAGACTTAGAGTTTATGGYCTATAAAATTTYTTCAAGAAACTCACAGGGTAATTRTTATCCCCATTTTTAAATAAGGCACCCATGACTCAAAAAGTTTTCTATGCTGGTCAAAGCCCCATAGGTAGTAAGTCACAGAAGTGGAACTTGAAATCAGCTGTTTTATTTCCAAATCCYGTGCTCTTTATTAACATCTTACTCCCTGCCCCTCATTTTATGCTTAAAAAACCCTCTTTATTTAAATAGTCTGATATCACATTGGAGAGACCAAAAAGGTCATATATGAAGGTAATAGTGTGTACTTAGTRGAGCTAGGTTTTGAGCACAATGTAAACTTATTTTTTAAAAGGTCAAATTTGACTACATAATGGCCAAGTAGAATAAATCACTCTCCAGGCTCCCTGCTAACATGCAAACAGAATGCCATTCCACTGCCTGTAATTTACCTAGACAGAAATACACCAGCAAGCAGAGGGCTGGGAAAGGGATCTTGCTGAGATGAGCTCACCACCAGTGTGATGCATGAGATGTGGTGTGAATCAGATGATGGACAGGCAGTAGACTTCAAGAGCTGAGATGTGTCACCAAAAGAGGTGAAAGACAGCCCAAGTCAACCCTCTAGTAAAACTGATCAAAACACTCCAGATGAAGGCAGAAGAAAAGTCATCATGGATCTTCAGTTTACAAAGAAAGAATAAAACCAAATTTTAAAACTTCACTATTATRATGTGATATTGCCAAGTAATACCCTACTTCAGTCCCATTACTCAARCTTCTATTCATAAGTAAATAAATTGTAATGGTTTACTAAATATGCCAACAGATCTTGTAGCATCCATACACACACTGAAACACATCCTTTGCCCAGACTTGAAATGCCACATTGATTCATTTAAAGGTTTCAGATTAAAAACAAAATTGAGCATGATTAATAGTCCCATAAAACAATGTCAGAAGTGAACATAAGTTTGAAACTATTTGAGAAGCTGCCAAGAAACATATTAAGCTGWGCTCTATAAAAACAAAAGGAAGGCAGAAATTGACAGGTGGGGAAGCAATGCAAATAAGCAATTAAAATGTAAAGAATCAGCTATATTGACCCAGTAATTCTATTCATAGGAATTCATTCTAAGAAAATAATTCAACAGAAGCTCGAAGGTTTTTGCACAAAGATTTTCCCTTCAGYATTATAGAGAATGTCAGAAGCAAAACAARAACAAACAAACCACTGGAGAATAGTTTAATAAATTAGAGTGTAGAATATAATGAAATGTGTTAAATTTTGTATTGAATAAAGCCTTTCATTTAGCTTCCAGAGAATTCCCAAAGGATGAATATTAATCCCGCTTATGAGGAGAGTTGTTTTCAGAGGTGAATCATCTTAAGTCATTGCCTTTTTGCTGTGTACTTTCCCTCAACATTTCTACTTGTTTCACAATCAATAGAAACCCAGGAAGATACAGATTTTGAAAGCAGTCCTAAGGTGCTTTACAGGCTTACACAACATTCTTAAAGGAAAAGATTTTCAGGAAGGAACTAAAGGTCAACTAGAGGGAAGGCCTCCATAGGAGAATAGTACCGGCCTCAAGAATCATTTGAGAAAGCATTAACTAAAAGTTGCTGGCATCTTAGGACTTATTTCAGAAATGAGGAATTTTCAGGCAAATCATTTATTCTAAGATAAACGACTTGTTTTCCAACAGAGATTTCTCCTTACATTTTTTTGTACCTGAACAACTGCAACATCTTTGCAGACAGAAGAAACTGCATAATAATAACAGAAAGAGCTGTTATTTCCTGAACCCTGGGAATATATCAGACACCATTTAAGTGAATTTCCTCATTTAATCATTGCCATAGTCTGATTAACTAGATACTGTTATCATCCCTATTTTATACAYCAAGAAGAAATAGAGCACAGGAAAATTAAGTAACTTGCCCAAGGTCACCAGTTTGCTTAATGATGATGATGTGTCACATCTCACTAAAATGCCAGGTACAGTAGCATTGCTATTTGTTGGGCTTGGTTCTGTCTTTAAATGGCAACTGTGCTATTTTTTCAAACCTTTCATTCTTTTTGATTTTTACCACAATCTCCATGGCTTCAGCCCCTGCCTCTGCTCTTTCCTGAGCCTTTTCTGCCCTTTTAGAGAGGAAACCTGATTCCTCCTGGGTGCAAACCTTGGTTACAATTTGCACTAGCAACTTGATTTTCTTAGTCTGGGGACAGATGGAGCTCAAACTTCAGAATTCCTCAAAGGAAGCAGATTTTTTTCCTGAAGCTGGTGGATTACCATAACCTCTCGCAACAGACCCTTGCAAGATTCCATTTCTATTTTTGTGTATATATTTTGAGATCATTTTATTTTTAAATAAAGTTCACCAAATCATATGAATGTTAGGTCATACAGGCTGATATACAATAGATTATTATTCAGCCATAAAAAAAAGAATGTAATTGCTAGGCATGGTGGCACAAGACTGCAATCCTAGCCACTTGGGAGGCTGAGGCAAGAGGATTACAAATTCAAGGCCAGCAGGTAAATT